ATACGTATAATGATAGAAATTATAATCGATATTTACAATTCTTTTGCAGTTTACAATTCTTTTGCACTATAAATGAAAATTTGCGCATAACACTAAACATCCATTATTCTACACAGTAGAAATAATTTTCATTTAAAATCATTGGCAGTGCTATGACATCAGTAACGTTTCAATAAATGTTCGGAAACGCCAATTATCTCACTCTGCTTTCACTGCTTTCTTTTCTTTCCTTTTGATCGGATTTTTTTTACAATCTCTATGAACATTGTTCAGATCGAAAGCTGCTTTTATATTGTCCTACAAAGCAAATATTTCTGTTTGATAAGTATATCTAATATTTTTTGATATCACAAAGAATTATATTACACGTACCAACGAAAAAAGGAATTTAACTAATTTGCCCTTGTGATCCGTGTATGGACGTCTCTCTATCTCTTTACCTTCTTTAAATAAAATCAAGGTGGGAAGCTGCTTACTAGTGCTAGCGTCGCTAATGTGGTACTTTACTGCAGCATCTGGATATCTTCCTATGTCTACTTTTCCAAATTTCAAGTTCTCCAAAGCGTATCTATGGAATCATCAAGTATTATTTTCTAATAAAACATTTATGAGACAAGTAATCCATTGTTACAAACTCTGCCGAAAGCTCGGAGAATATTGGCGCGAAGTTGACACAAGCTGGGTTCCAGGCTGTATAGAACGCGATCAACCAAACGACTCTCGTATCGCGGTGCAACTCTTCTTGTAATCCGTTTGCTCCGCGCAAATAGGTCACTTTCTCTGGACCTTGATATGTTGGCTCAGGAAACACCAGACCGCATACTGTAATTATTACATTCTACAGCTCTCATTTCATCATGATGTAATATTAAATAAATACATACGGATGAATATAATGGCAAATATTATTCCCATACGAATGTCTGCATAAAACCAAAGGATAAGATTGGCAACCTTAGTATACACAAAGCTGGATGATAAGTAGCTTATCATAGTTACACTTCCAGTTTTCCTTGTCCTTATCATTATGACTATCATGAGAAAAAAGAGAATCTCCGTCTCCCTCTGAAATAAAAGTACATCATTAGATACATGTTTTACACAGGCAGTCTAGCAAAATGGTGATTGTGTTTACATTCAACTCACCCCATCAAGCTCACACTCAGCTTGCGCGAATACATAATTACACATAATTGGAACGCGTTTGGAGACGACGTAGGAAAGGCTGAGCAAAATGTTTATAAAGTAGTATGGCTTCAACAGAAGTCGCAAATCTTTTTTCAATGGCATTTTCCTCTCTTTGGGCGATTGTAGGTTAGATTTATGAATTAACAGTTCCCAATTTCGCAAGGGGGTAGGTGTCACCCTACTTTATTTCCGACAAGAAATATTTTTTGAACGATCTATGAAGATATTTGAAATTTTATATAACAATGCAATTTTCTTTATTCCCTTTTTTTATGACGAGGGACGAAGCAGTTTTCAATGACGATTACGATTTGCTCGTGTCAACCCTTCCATGTTTAGACAAACTTCAAAACATTATCGCGCAATTTCCTCGTCGGTTGTAGTACAAAATTATGATAAAGACGAATAGACATGAAACGTAATATCATATTAAGGAATTAAATAATTTAACTCTTCATGAGTAACTCGGTAGTCTGATTGGCCGACGAATTATAACATTAAGTTGATGTATATAAATTGTCTTGAATTTCCCTGTTGGATGATTAAATTATTTTATTATTATTTCCTGTATAGATAGTAATAATGATGGTAATGATATTAATGTTGATAATAAATCAATTCAAGTTCTCACAGTTGTTATTTAATTTTTTTTACTATCTGCTTTTTCGATGATCAATTATTTATTATTAATCTTTCGTCAAATTTCATTAAATTGATTAGTATAATTTAGATAAATTGTATCGTAACATATTACGAATTCGATAAATTAAATTGATATTTGATAAATACTGATTGATCTAATATTATTAATAGTTATAAGATTGTAATCAATCACGTTCATTGGACTTGGATATCTTGTTAAAAATTTTCCATAAACACGATAAGGTTTCACATTTTAATGTAACATCACGTACGTCTGATAACAGTGTCTATATTATTGGAGCATTCTAAATAATTGTTACATTATTTACATAATTACATAAATTAACAATGATTCATCTATTCTGTTTACAATTTGTTTCTAGTACAGTTCAATAACTACAGATTATTAACAATGGAAAGCATTATATTAAAATGATGTTATAAATGTACATAGTCTGTTATCATAGAGATATATCCCAGAGATATATATATGTATCACAGAAATATATACAGCGAACAAAGATCATTTATTCTCACAAATACTTCATACTTATTGGTAGTTGAATCAAATACCAAACATGAAGCACCTACTGGCTGTCTATTTAGTCGCATGCATTTTCTTAACATTTTGCCAAAATGCATCTGCTTTGAACAAGAGTATCCCTCTGGTAGTCATTACTTGGGATTATAAAGATGCTACGCAAAAAGGTAATATTACGTTTTTATCTTTATAAAAAATGACATGATGATATTATGGTGAAAATCTGTTTTCAGCATGGAATGTTTTAAACAATGAAAAGAGGAGCGCCCTAGATGCTATAGAAGAAAGTTGCAGTCTCTGTGAAGAGCAAAGATGCAGGACAACTGTAGGGTATGGAGGCAGTCCAGACGAATCTGGTGAAACAACTCTGGATGCTGTAATTATGGATGGGTACATCTATCATTCATTTAAACTTATATATAAATATTACTTTTAAATATAATGAATTATTTATCTGAAAATAGAGTAACAATGGACGTGGGTGGTGTAGGACTATTAAGAAATGTGAAGAATGCCATTTCAGTTGCTCGTAAAGTTTTAGAAAATACTAAGCATTCTTTACTCGGTGGAGACCTGGCTACAAACTTTGCTGTGGAAATGGGATTCAAAAAGGAATCCCTACAGACAGAAGAATCAAAAAAAATGTGGTTGCAGTGGAAAGCAAACACATGTCAACCCAACTTTTGGAAGGTAAATTATTCTCAATATATAATAATTTTTCATTTAAGAAAGAGAGAAGACAGAAATACACACTGTATGAAGAATCAGATATATTGAAATTTGTAATTAAGGATTATATAAAAAGAGAAAGATTAGAATATAATGTAACAAGATAGAATACAATATAAAAAAAATATTAAAAATAACGTAATAACATCAATTTTTTTTATATTTCAATTTATCTGATTGTATGAATGACTGACATATAATAAGTTTTATTTATAGTTTAAATGTTAATGTGACAGGAAATAATAATAAAATTGTAAGACTAAAAATATATCTCATATACATCATAAATTTGTCCATCTAAAATTATACGTGTATCAGAACGTAGATCCGGATCCAAAAAGGAATTGCGGCCCATATCATTTAAGGAAAACGAGGGAGAATATCATGGAGAAACACGTATCGTACGTGAATGAAGAGAACCACGATACAATTGGTGTTGTAGCTATAGATTCAAACGGACATATAGCAGCAGGTACATCAACTAACGGAGCCAAAAATAAAATTGCTGGCCGCATTGGGGATTCTCCTATAGCTGGCGCAGGTGCATACGCTGATCAAAAAGTTGGCGCGGCAGCTGCAACCGGTGATGGAGACATCATGATGCGCTTTCTACCAACGTAAGAAACTCATTCAGTGATTTACATCATGATTAGATATTTTATAGGAGATTTCAAAATGTACAAATGTACAAAAATACCTAAAATATTCAAAGTAAAATTACAATATTTAGTGGATAAAGCATTTCTATTTAGATATTTATTTGTTTGGTTACATTAATAAAGATATAAAATTACATAGTTTTTGCAATTTGTCATACATACATATATATATATATATATACTTATTTTTTCTAGTTTCCTGGCTGTAGAGGAAATGCGTCGCGGAGCTACTCCAACCGAAGCTGCGACTACAGCAGTTAGAAGAATTGCCGAGCATTATCCTACATTCAGTGGTGCTGTGATTGCGATAAACAAAGACGGAGACTACGGAGCCGCCTGCAACAGAGTCAACAACGGTTTCCAATACTACGTGGCCAATCCTGAACTTGGACGAGCAACGATGCACCTTGCCAATTGCATAAATACCGAATATGATGTAATTCAATCCTAAAATCGATCGACATCCTCTTGTAATTTCTTTCGATTTGCCGAGCGATACTTGTATATTTTTGAATAAAATAAAAATTGCAGAACTGTGAAATATGATACATGATTACCTAAAGGAAAGAACAAGCCAGAAAATGAAATCGCAATTTCAGTCATTGAACTAAAATTCATATTCAAAAATACTTGAGTCGCTTTCCACCAGGTGGCAGTACCGCTGCGATATTTGTTGACAAAAGTGACGCTTTTACGTGTGAATATCTGGACAATTAAGCGAGACAAATACCAATTTCTTTCCAACCAATGTGCAATTTGCAATATTAAATGTACGTAAAACATGCACTTCAATTTATAATTTTGAAAATTTTGTTCATGTCGCGTTAAATAATATTGCTAATTAGATGTTGGTAACCTCAATATTTCAGAACATACGTGTGCAATAACAAAAATGCCAGAAACAACAGAGGAGGACATGGGAATGTCCGTTCGTTTAACGAACGATGACTTCCGGAAGCTGTTGATGACACCAAGGGCATCTGTCCCATCTGCAACTCCTGCTTCAGTACCTGGAACTGCTAGAGATGCCAGCGCGAAGACTGCACAGACACCAAACGTCAGTGGTGGTAGTCGTGCAGAGTTACGAAGGAAGAAGAAGAGTTTCTATGCCAAGCTGAAGAAGCAAGAAGAGGATAAGATGGCCGAGTTGGCGGAGAAATACAGAGACAGAGCTAGAGAGCGCAGAGATGGCACGAATCAAGATTATCAAGCAGAGGATCCGATGAACAGCGCCAGCGCATATCGCGCAGTTGCACCAGATTTGAAGTCAGGAATGGACGCGGCAGAGCGCAGAAGGCAGATGATTCAACAGTCAAAATTCTTGGGAGGTGATATGGAGCACACTCACTTGGTAAAAGGCTTGGATTACGCTCTCCTCCAAAAAGTAAGTCTGCTCTTAGTGAGTGAAAGATTCCTCTCAGCAATAAATATGTTACAAAGAGTATTTTATTTCACAGGTACGCAGTGAAATAGAAGCGAAGGAGCATGAACAAGAGCAAGAAATGGAAAAGTTAGTGAAACCAAAGGAAAAGAAGGACAAGAAAGAGGGAGAGAAGAAGGACGACGAGATGCAGTTCAAAACCAAGATAGGGCGCAATGTTTATAGAACAGTTATGACCATGAAGTCCAAGCAGATTGAAAGAAATGAATTATTCACTCCTGGCCGTATGGCTTACGTGATAGAACTAGACGATGAAAATACAGATGTAGACATACCAACGACTCTGATTAGAAGCAAGGCGGATGTGCCTACTATTGACAATACTCCTACCCTGACGACGAACGACATTGTAATAAATAAACTGGCGCAGATTTTATCCTATCTTCGTCAAGGTAGCCGTCATGGTAAGAAAGGAAAGAAGAACAAAGATGGAAGGTCTAGACCTGACGATATGAACGACATGGACATTGCTCCGAGGCCACAGGACGAAAGTATCTATGGAGACATTGGTGACTATGTTCCGACCATTGATAAGAAAGATTCGAATCAGCCAAGAGAGAAAAAGAAAGGTTCTTACTTTGACAAGCCTGAGACTGGTTTGGACACGGATGATAAAGCAAATACACCACAGTTACCAAACGTTGCGCCTTCCAATTCAGATATTAACGCTCCGAAGAAGGGTGCTCTCCTCAACAAATTAGCTGCGGAGCCAGAAGGCTATGCAGAATGTTATCCAGGGCTGGATGAGATGCAAGACGCCATAGACGATTCGGACGACGAGGTAGACTATACCAAGATGGATCTTGGTAACAAAAAGGGCCCAATCGGCAGATGGGACTTTGATACACCTGAAGAGTACAGCGAGTACATGAACAACAAAGAAGCTTTGCCGAAAGCAGCGTTCCAGTATGGTGTGAAAATGGCTGATGGAAGAAGAACGAGGAAGTATAACAAAGAAAAGAATGAAAAAGCTGAATTAGACAGAGAATGGCAGAAGATCCAGAACATTATGAACAAAAGAAAGCCCACAACGGTGTTGGACGGTGCATCGGAATTCAAAGTCCCTAGATATTGAAGCGCTTTTTGAATTAATTTCAATTAAAGTAATATGATACGTAGTATGTACGCTATATATGTACGTGTAGGATCTTACATAATTTGTTTATGGCTATCACTTGTACAAAATCAGAGGCACAATAAAAGACTGTATAATATTTTTAAAACGATGTTGTTCTGCTTTATTATTATGAAATAATGTCATTACTGTTGCAACTTGTAATCGAAGGCTTATGTAAAATTTTTCTTTCGTCGCGGGCAAAGATCTGGACATTCGTGACCTAAAACCGACTAAAACCAGTACGAAACTAGTCGTGCAAGCAGTCTATAATGACCTATGACCAATTGATAGGGGGTTTACCAGAACCCATTTCAACTGGTTAAAACTTGTAATTGATGATAATTTGTTAAAAAAAAGAAGAAGAAGAAAACGATTCACAACATGTTGACGTATTCAAGATATTACGCATTACTACTCTAGATTGAAATACTAAATTTGTTTACTAAAACCTAGAAGTAATTCTCATCATTCTCCGAAGAGAATGATTTCTTAGTAATTTCTTTCGCTACCGTTATTTCGTAATTAATTTGATCATTCCAATGAAATAACTGAATGTATAAAATTCGAAATATTTATTGCATGCTTGAAAATGCTAATTGAAAAATGAGCCAACTTATATCGAGAATATATTATCAGATTGTTACTTATCAAACTACCTTAATTTCGAATTTGAAAATAATTTACAATCGTTCATTCCTTGATAATTACATTCATCATCAATAAATGATATAACACTTTTAGATAATTATTAATTAAATCAATGACTGTTAATCACCATCTTCTTCGGTAATTAAACTTTTGTAATTTAAGGTATTTCTAACTTTTAGAGTATTTCGTTTCTTATCTACGTTTCGCGATGACTATGGTAAATAGGAATGCAAATATTTAACGACTCACATTCCCAGCTACGACTATTACTCATTAAAATGAATTACTCATTAAAATTACTCATTAAAATGAAGACATCTATTTTATCAACAAATGCACCATGTTTCTCCCTAATTCTCTTTAGCATTCAGATACGATTACTCTGATAAAAATAACTATTTAACAGAAATTCGTCACATAAAAACAATCTAATATAATAAATATCCGTTCAAATGTCTCTTCTAAACATATTCCTACAATTTGTTTCAATATCATCGTAACTTATCCCACTGTAATACTAATGAAATTACGAAATATTCCCAATGATAATTGATGATCTTCCGAAGAAGCGAGAAAACAGGCTGAATGAACCATGTAAACGAGCAATGGGAAATCGAAATAATAAACGAAGCGTACAGATAAAAAAAACGAATTGAAGAACATTCTTGACCCTGATGGCTGATACAGTCAGCTTATATAAACGTCCTACGTTTCAGTACAGTTCAGATAACTGCAAGTGTTGCTAACCGTCAGCAGAGCAATTGGTGAAGTGAACGCATGACAACCGGAGAACTGTCGACGTTGATTTTCTTTTCTGATGCTGTTCCTGAAGAACTTCCTCTCGATACGTTCCTACGCCGTGAACACCGTAAGCTAGTTGCCTGGAATTTTGTAAATATTCACATGTTTACACTACTTTTACGCTTTGATACACGAATAATTGAAACACGTACAAACAGATAGAAAGTAGAATAATAGTTGGTGTAAAAGCATATTGGAAACGTTTCTGGTGTTAGTAGAGGGCATTACGTTTATACTGTATATAAATTTAACAACACATCCATGGTAGATAGAAGTAGGTGTTTCTCTCTATCTTGGAGCATACTTTCTCCTTTGCACAGCTTCTCTCACACTTCTTCTCAATCTTCTCTTTGCAGCTCGCTTGAAAGTACAGTGAAAGTTAGAAGAGTGCATTAAACGCGTTGCAAATAGGTACGTATATATATATATATATATTATATGTATATACATGTATATATGATGCATATTACACTGTAACGCTTGGTGTTTTGAGTTCATTGAAGGATAAAAATCTGGGGGAGAAACGGACATAGCGAAGTCGGTAGTTATACCGATTTATCGGTCGGTATCTTTCTAACATTTCTTCCACTTTAATATCTCGCTATGTTCGCCTAAGCAGTAAATGCAAAAAAATGTATCATTCGAATATGTAAAACGAATGAAAATCGAAGTTCGATTTCGACATTTAGACGGCAATGGCGCAACTGAAAGTGGCCATAATCGGCCAGAGCCCCTTCGCAGCCGAGGTGTACAAGCTCTTGAAACAGAATGGTCATCAAATCACAGGAGTTTTCACAATTCCCGACAAGGGGAACCGAGAGGA